TTCAAATTGATCATCTCGATGTCAAGATGTATGGACATGAGAAAAAAATAGATTTTAAGTTTTGGAAATAGTGTATTTTATAATGCATTTTTAGATAGTTAATTTTCAAAATTTTCAAGTTTTTATAGATGCTACTTTTGAAGCTTTAAACTTTAAAAATAAAAATGATAATATCTTTTACGTCTATCACAAAGATTTTCAATTATCGAAACCATATTTCTCTGCACTATTTGAAAGTAGGCTCTAATTTGATTGTTTAGAATCTAGGCTCTATACAAACCACACCCTTAATAAGCACTCGAAAACTAAAAAAAATACAAAACCAGCCAAGCCACAAACCATTTTACCAAGGAAGTCAAGCCGGCCGGATCTGTACGGCAAGCACAATACTTTAAGACGCTTCATATTCCTTCCCAACCTTTAATTATTATTATTTCATTTTGATATTCAATACAAGTACATTAATAGATAAGATAATTATCATTCCTATAAATTACTAAATCATTAAAGAAAAGTATATATTTTAAAAAAAAACAGGAAATCTTTGTGATGACTTGAAAATTAAGTTTCATTTTTAATTACCTAATTTAAAGCTTAAAAAGATAGTATATATTGAGCATATCCATGAACATTTGAAAAATCTTGAAAATTGATGGTACAAAAATGTATTACAAGATGTATTATTTCCAAGATTTGAAATCTATTTTTTCTCATGTCCATACATATTGAGGTCGAGATGATCGATTTGAGGATTTTTTAGCATTAAAACAACATCTTACACCTTAATTTGATTGTTTAGTGCTTCGCCCTTGTACAAACTTTTCCCATATATTATATAGATAATTGCATTCCTCATTCCATGGTTAATGATATTATATCTCACTTTTTGCCAAAAGTTTGTTTGCTCCCTCGGGAGCAAGCTGTCCAGTCACGCCCTTAGGTAAACCCAATGTGAGAGTACCCTTAGGGACATCAAATTTTTGAGAATCTAACCTGCCTTAACCTTGTAAATAAAAAAAAAATCATTCACATGTACTCTATATTTGCCTTGAAAAGAAGTATTATGAAATTAAATAGAAAATAGCATTATGAAATTAAAATGTTAGTTTTAAACTGAACAATTAGATCTAAGTATTTTTAAAAGGGTGCGGTTTGTATAGAGCCTAGGCTCTAAAGAATCAAATTAGAGCCTACCTTCAAATAGTGTCGAGATATGTGGTTTCACTATTGGAAATCTTTGTGATAGCCTTAAAATATATTGTCATATTTATTTATAAATTTCAAAGCTTCAAGGTAGTGTAGATCGATATATCTATGAAAATTTGAAAATCTTGAAAATTGACGGTCTAAAAATGCGTTATAAAATACACTATTTTCAAAATTTGAAATCCATTATTTTCTCATGTCCATGCATCTCGATGTCAAGATGATCAATTTGAAGATATTTGGGCATCAAAACAACATCTTTTAGTGAACTTTTTGAGGTAGGTTCAAATTTGATTGTTTAGATCCTTGGCTCTATATAAACTTTTTCCCTTTTTAAAAATGCCCATCCCATGAATCGAAAGCAAACCTATTATCTCATATGGAAAAAATTGTCTTGCGTAGCTCTTTTGTTTGAGGAAGCAAGTTAAGAATGTGATCCGCAAGAATACTGGGCTCTACTTTTAAATTTGTCCTGCTCCATTGTCCAAAGTAAGCTCACAACTATCTTTTACGGCTTTCCCCCAAAAACTTGCCATAAAAAGGATCAAGGCACTTGCATGTCAAGACAGGGGTTTATGTGCATAAAACCTTGTGTTGCACTCTATTACGAGAGAGAGAGATTTATATTGCACTCTATTACTAATGTAGAGAGAGAGAAAATAGAAAGTAATGCATTGCTAATGTAGAGAGAGAAAAGATAGAGAGTAATGCATGTATACACACGAGGTATGTTGCACTCCATTAAGAGAGAGAGAGCCTTGTGTTTCACTCTATTCCTAATGTAGAGAAAGAGAAGAAACAAAGCAAGTGCATGTTTAAACACATGAGGTATGTTGCATTCTAGTGAGAAGGGGAGAGAGAGAGACTTGTGTTGCAACCTATTGTTAATGTAGAGAGAGAAAATACAAAGGGCGGAGAGAGAGACTTGTGTTGCACTCTATTGTTAATGTAGGGAGAGAAAATACAAAGCAAGTGCATGTGTACAAACGTGAGGTAAGAGTAAAACACTTTTGAACTACTCTGATGATTAAAAAAAGCCGTAATGTGGTCTTGGTCCTGCCTATGCAAGGTCTCGGGAGGGGTGAGCTGGAGACAATCCTAACTTTGCTTTTTATGCAGACTCAAACTTGTGCTCTTTACTATTTTCAAAAAATAAAGTGGGATATGAGTTCCTAAATGCTTAGATCGAGTCATCTAAATTGAACCAAAAATTAAATATTTCGACATTACTTTTAAGTAAAAAGGGCTTCATAAAATTGCAGTGTTTATTGTGAAGTTTTGGGGGGGTCTATTGCGTTTGTAGCCATTAACTAGAGTAGAATTTTATTGGGTAAGAGATTTCAATTAGAGTATAACCATATTGTTAGGCAGAATATAGATTCAAAATGGGTGGTTGTAAGAGTATCATTGATTAAACACAAAGTTTCACAAAAATAACTATCGGACTTCGTTACTCATCCCAAGTCATCCAATTTGACATCTAATGAGTGGGAATAGTTGTGAGCTCCTTATACAAAAAGTAAATGGTCTCTTTGTAGACAATCTCATTGTGTTTATTGCCATTAGAGTAGAATCTTATTGGGTGAGAGATTTTAATTAGACTAGAACTATATTGTCATCGAGAATAGGGCAAGCTCTTTATGCTTCCCCACCAGTATAAAACTTCTATACTTCCCCCTATCCAACAGTCCATTTAGAATGGACAGCTTGGATAGTCGCAATCATAATATCACCCTCTATACTTTTTTATTTTTAATATTTTTTATACAATAAATTTTGACACCAAAATTTGGGTGTCCTATCCGCTATAGAACTCACCTATAAAAACATGAAAAAAAAAATTTACTCTCAATAAAATAAAATGTTTAAAATGCCCCTGAAATTTTCAAACGTATTTGATCGTTGTATTTTATCAAAAATATTTTTTTAATAATTTATTTAGGTGGACCCTAATATTTCATTTAGGTATACCCCATTGAGATGATGGGGCATACAAATGTTCATGTTCATATAGTTAGCAAAAAAAATTTAAAATAAAATGCTCTTGATCTAGATTAAATGGTTAGTGGCTCACTAGATCTAAATTAGACGGTTGGATAAAGGGAAGTATGTATCATTTATGTTGTAGGGGAAAAAATCTTTTCCGAAAAAGGTTTCTATGCTTCCCCTACAGCATAGAAGTTCTATCCTCCCCCAACCATCCAGCCGTCCAATTTTGATCAAGAGAGCTACTCACCGTTTGATCTTAGATCCGACGTTTCAAAATATTTTATTTTTGGTTTTTTTTTTAGTCTCAAAATATTCCCATAGGGAGGGACGCACCTATAAAAAATATCAAAAATAATTTTTTGATAAAATATAATGACCAAAATACCGCTTGAATCTTTCAGAGGTATTTTGGTCATTTTATTTTATTGAAAATAGTTTTTTATATTTTTCGCTAGTGCGAGTTTAATAGAGTACATTTGAATTTATTTTAGGAGATTGCTGAGGAAATAGATTGGATTTAGATATATGATTTGGGATGTCAAAGATATACAGATTAGGGTTTTAGGATTGCTGAGAAAATAAATTGGATTTAGATATATGATTTGGGGTGTTAAAGATGAGACACAATAAGTATTGAGGTTTAGAAAAAGATATGTTAGACATGGATAAGATAACCACATGACATAAAGGGATAGAAATGAGAAAAAATAAGGTATTAAATATGGGATAAGAGAGTTGAGATGAGAGAGGATGAAAATTAAAAGGGAGCATACTCCCAAAATTTTAAGGTTTACTATAATTTTCAAATAGTCTTATTTATTGTGTTTCAATTTATATCAAAATAAATACACTTTTGGCTTATTCACTTTATAATTGAGTAAAATTTAATCTTCCTATTTTTATAATCATGCCCTTAGATAAGAGTGATATTTAAAGTATATGAGAGGATTTGAATACTTGGTCTAAATTCAAGATTCCATCACCTTCTTCTACAAAAGGTAAAGAGTTAAATCCTATCATTAAGAACAACCCTTTCCAAGATTTTAGTGGTGTTACACATGTCATCTATTAATATAAATGAACCTCTTTGTTATTGTAAAAAAAAAAAAAAAGAGAAAAAAACAAAAACCATAAGTGGAACTTTTTGTCAAAACAAAACCACACACACAACTTATAAATTTAATCAAATCCTATCATTAAGAACAGCCCTTTTCAAGATTTAGAGGTGTTTCACATGTCATCCATTAACATAAATGAACCTCTTTGTTATTGTAAAACAATAACATTAATGAACCTCTTTGTCAAAAAAACACACACACATACACACATACAAATGAACCATTAATATAAAATAATAGAAAAGGTATGAGCTATTTCTCATTTAATATTTTCGCCATGTCCATAAAAAAAATAATCGGCTCGGGTTATGGTGGTAGCACCCCCACACCCAAGCAGCCATGTCATTCCCACGTATGCTACCCTACTAACACATTCAAAAGGTTAATTATTAAACTATTTGAAAAACATGGGTAGGGCCTGTCTTCGCCACTTAATTATCCATAAAAAAAACAATCTAATAATATTTCCCAAGTAGCCACGTCATTCCCGCATACGCTACCCTACTAACACCTTCAAAAGGTTTGAAAAACATAAGTAGGGCCTGTCTTCACCACTTAATTATCCATAAAAAAAAACAATCTAATAATATTTTTAAACTAGGCCTCCAAGAAATAAAAATCTACACTTAATTATCCATAAAAAAAAAAAACAATCTAATAATATTTTTAAACTAAGCCTCTAAAAAATAAAAATCTATAAACAACTAGGTGGTATGACATAACCAGTTGTTTTCCCATTAGCATGTGTGCAAGAGGCCTGAGCCTCGCCTTGTTTGTAAGTAAGATATACATCTTGCAATTCAATGTTCTTGCATGCACTGCAAGCAAAGTTGATGGCCACCTCAGTTGCAGAAGTTCCCATAACGTTTTTGTACGTCACATCACTTATCTTTATGCTGGATTTCTGCACAATGGTAACAAATTTCGTTTAGTGTTTGGGTTTAAGATTTAGGGTTTTATTTAGTAAACTAGATTTTAGAGTTTTTCTTTTAAAATAAAAATAAAAATAAAATACTATAAAATACTATTATGACCTAAAAGTACAGCAATAAGCACATTTACGTTGAGCTAAGCACATTTAGGTTGAGCGAAGCACATTTAGGTTGAGCTATTGTCTCAAACTCAGATTTATAGTAGCGATTAGGATTTCCATTTAGGGTGTTTTGTCGGGTTTAGGCAGTGTTCAAAAATTGAACCGGCCTCGGAAAGGCTGGTTTCAAGTAAGTGGTGAACCAGCCGGTGGGCAAAAAATATTAAAAATAAAGAAATGCAAAAAAATCTAAAAAAGATATAAAAAATATATATAAAGCATGATTAAACAAAACACAATCCAAATGAAGTTGAAAATTATTGAAAAAAAAAATTTAAAAAAAATCGATTTGTGTCTAGGGTATTTTTGAAATTTTTAAAAAAGAGGGAAAATGTAAAAATAAGTACTTATGGTCAAAACGTTTTCCGGTCTTTGCCAAAATGATAAATAAATAAATAAAACATTCAATAACACATTACAATCAAATCTCTTATTTTTTTTGAGATTTTATATAATTTTTTAAAAATATCATATCAGATCACCAAAACCGGCCAAAACTAGATCCGGTTGAGTTTGCAAACACTGGGCTTATGGGCTCAAAGGTTTTTTTTTAAATTGAGAATTGGGATTTGGGGTTTTTTTTGGTGAGATAAAAATAGGTTTTCTAAAAAGGTTGTACCAATTCGAATCAATTTGTCAGGTCAGTCAACCTAACCCTAATCCAAGTCTAGAACCTGCATACATACTCTAGAACCTGTATACATACACAAACACGCATGCACACACACATCTAATCCAACTCTAGGTCAATCCTAGACCTTGAGTTCGGTCCTATTGCAAACTATACTTTTAAAATATATATCATACCTGATGGGGACAATGTCATACCTGATGTGGACAATGTTCGTGTGGACAGTATTTCTGGTCGATGATGATGGGGTTCTCCACATTATTCATGACCACCCCATCATATACTATATTTTTCACAAAGCCATTACTCTTTCGCGCAAACGTCTTTATCCTCAACCCATTTGTTGTCCCATCAAACACTACATTTTTCACTGTCACATCCTGTACACCAGCCTCATCCAAGTGATGTCCAAGGCTCCCAATGCTGCAATTTTCCAAATATTTACATTTTAAGATGAACAAAAACATATATTTGTGTTTTATAGTGCAAAAACACATTAAAATACATGTATATATGCATAATATTTTGAAAACAATACATGGACATAATAACAACATTTATGTATACATCATGCAAAAACCCAAAAATTTGCTCAAAAAGATGCAAATATGTATGCATACTTATTTATGAGAGAGTACTCAATATGAGTGTTTGCCTTTGGTACAAAAAGGCTATAGCCACCCTAGCAGTGAATTGAATTTTGGGAACTGTAAGTATTTCATTTATATCATTAATTGCACTTAAGTCAAAAGGAAAAACTTCTACGACTCACCCCAGCCACTCAATTGTATATCTGACAGCTAAGGATGATTGTAACATTTTTGCACAAAAAAAAAACACCTTAATGTATTATAATATCTTTATTTACATATTATAAAAACTTTATTTATTTATTTACTTATTATGAAATGCACTGAAGCTTTGGCACATGATATACGTTGAACTATGTTCAAAGCAATGAAAATCTAGCTCTTGTTAGATTTGGTAGCCTTTCGTTTCTATGTTATTATTCGTCAAAAGGAGAGGATTAGATTTCATAAATATTCAAGATAAGTGTGTGTGATGGCTGATTAGAAACCACATGTTCTAATGAACATCATAAAACGGTATATACTAGGAGCTTGGAAGTTAATAAAACTTTAGATGTCTAGTACACAAGCTCATGACCATATATGAAGCCCTCAAGCACATTCAATGTTTAAAAGCTCGGGTTTGGGCTTGATCTCTCTATGGGTCAAGACTGGTCTACCACTCAAAAACAATGTTTAAAAACTCGGGTTTAGGCTTGATCTCTCTATGGGTCCAAACTCTATGGGTCCAAACCGTAGCACGACTGGTCTGACACTCAAGCTAGGCAATTTCAATATGAAAAGTCTAAAAACTATGAAAATATTAGGAAAATTGGGCGATTCTCGTTTCTTAGGCCTAGAATCGCCTCACTCCCAATCCGATTATACTAGTGATCAGTCAAACCTGCGATTTTTTATGTAATGAGCCTAACCACTCAACAAAGAACCCAAACCCTATTATAAGATTTTTTGTGTAATGAGCCTAACCAATCAACAAAAAGCCAAACCCTAATCAAAACTCAAACTATGATAGATTCTTACCTAATGCCATGTCCAGGCCCACAAGTCACTCGCTCAACATGCAGATTATGTGTTCCAGGTCCAATTGAAATACAATCATCTCCAGTTTGTATGCTTGGATCTGTTATGAGAACATCACTTGATCCTTCAACATGAATACCATCGGTATTAGGGCTGTCACCAGGGGCTCTAATCTTTATGCCATGAACTTTGATCCCCTTAGAGTCATTGAAAACGATGTGAAACTTTTTGCTGTTCATTGATGTGAGGTTGTTTATTGTTACATTCTTGCATTTGTTGAAGAGTAGAGACTGCATTGAAAACAAGAACAGACTTTGTAAGTGTGACTTTTCAAAGTAGCAAGCACAAGGGAAAAAATAGCCAACTTTGAGTTTTAGGTGATGTACTTAGCCAACTTTGAGTTTTAGGTGATGTACTTAGCCAACTTTGAGTTTTAGGTGATGTACTTAGAAGTTTGCCGTTTCGGTTTATCATTTTGTGGATCAATTATGAGAAATGTGGCAGTTGACTCTAGAATTACCCTAATCCACCCAGATTAGGACCCTAAGTACTCCAGAGGGAAATCAGGTGAGTCCCCTCAATAATTTTCGACTCCTCTCAAAAATTTTCAAGAAAATTAGCTCAAAAAAATCAGCCCATCAATCCCAAAGGATAATTGGAGGAGAAATGATGTGACATAAGTGATCTAATATTAATAAAAAAAAATTTTCATAAAAACATATATTTTGAAATTACTGAACAAAGTTTGAATTTGGAATCCATCAAATTCATTTTGTTCCAAGAAGCATGCTCCAAATTCTATCCCTAAATCCTAATATACATAGAAAATGGAATGAGACCCAGTTGAATCTCAAGAGAATTTCCCCTGTTGTCAGTGAAAAAAACCCTTGAACACAAATAAAATAATGACAAGGAAATTATTTAAGATTGAATTTTGATGTATTAAGTATGCGGACAAATTTCAAATCTATAATTTTAAATAAATGTATAGTTCATATCACTATTCCTCTCCCTCTGTTATTTACCTATCCATGTATGTATACACAATGGATGTGATTAACATAAGGTCTAATGTTTTTTTCTTTTTTTCTTTTTGGGTAATTCGGTGGGGATGACAGATTGATTAGGGAGTTAGCTTTCTATTTTTTCAAATTGGTTAGGGCGTTAGCTTTTATGAGGTATGCGGGTGCTACCTCCACCCATTTTTTAGATTGATTAGGGAGTTAGCTTTTTTGAGGTATGCGGCTCCTACCACCACGACCCAGCACCTTTCCTCGTACATAAGGTCTAGTTTAGAAAGTAAATTTGCACATCATTTACCTCAAAAAAGAAAAAGGTAGCTTTGGCATCGAAAATCCCTATTATAACCTTTGGGATCTATTTCCAATCTTAATTTTAAACTCTAAAAACATCATAGATTTCATGGATTTATACATACTTTGAAAAAAGATGGTTCATATAACAAGATATATCATCTTTTAGGTTTTAAATCGTCAAGTTTTAAAGTACATAATTCTCGAAGTTGAGATCATCAATTCAAATATTTTCTTGCTCCTATAATTACTTTTTATCATGAAGCCTCAGCCCCTTTCCTCGTACGTAAGGTCTAGTTTAGAAAGTAAATCTACCCATCATTTACTTCAAAAAAAAAAAGTAGTTTTGGCATCGAAAATCCCTATGATGACCTTTGAATCTATTGTCAACCCTAATTTTAAACTCTAAAAACATAATAGATTTCATGGATTTATACATACTTTGAAAAAAGATGGTCCACATAATGTATTAGAAGATATATCATTTTTTAGGTTTTAAATCCTCAATTTTTAAAGTAAAGAATTCTCGAAGTCGAGATCATCAATTTGAATATTTTCTTGCTCCTATAATTTTATTTTTTATCATGAAGCCTCAACCTTGTATATAAGGCTATACAAATCAAATCAAAAGTTGATTTTTCAAAAATTCAATATCACTACACAAATTGACCAAACTGCACTTATATTCTGATTAATTTTTTTTAAATACCTGACCTCAATAAACACATAGCCTGGTTTCTATGCTGCTAAGTTCGCATATGTAGAAATGCGGGCCTATTAATAAATCCATTTTTGAGATGGATTTTTGGAATTAATTTTGAGGACATGTAGTCTAACATAGAGATCATGAATATGAAAAAAGAAGTAAATTTTAAAATTTAGAAATAGTAATTCTAGTAAGAAAACATTTGGACAGTTAGTTTCTGTTGTTTTTAGATGGAATACCTACTTGATGGATGCTTTATTTAGATGGAACACCTACTTGCATCCCATCTTTAACTTTTTGGACCGCATATGAAGTCATTCGATCGATCCAACCCACATGAAACAAGTTTCCATAAAAAAATACTAAAACTACCCATAGCAAAACAATCGATCCAACCCGCATTAAACAATTTTCCATAAAAAATACTAAAACTACCCATACCAAAACAGCTCGAATAAAAAATAATCAAAATACCCCTACCACGCCAAAATACTAATATTACCCATAGCAAAACAGCCTGAGTAAAAAATGACCAAAATACCCCTACCACGCCAAAATACTAATACTACCTGTAGCAAAGCAGCCCGAGTAAAAAATAACCAAAATGCCCATACCATGCCAAAATACTAATACTACCAAAATACCCCCAGCACGCCAAAATACTAATCCTACCCCTAGCAAAACAGCCGAGTAGATGGCAAAATACTTATACTACCCATAGCAAAACAGCCCGAGTAAATGCCAAAATACTAATATACTACCCATAGCAAAACAGCCCGAGTAAAAAATGACCAAAATACCCAACCATGCAAAAATACTAATACTACCCATAGCAAAACAGGTCGAGTTACTACGCCAAAATACTAATACTACCCATAGCTAAACAGCTCGAGTAAAAAATAACCAAAATACCCCTATCACGCCTTACCATTGACCCTGCCCGAATAAAAATTTACCAAAATACCTTTACCATGCCTTACAAATAACCAAAAATACCCTTACCAAAGAGAGCAGGCAAGCTAAGCTAGATAATAGAATAGATGAAAGGAGAGAGAGCAAGCAATCTAAGCTAGATGATAGAGATGAAAGGAGAGAGAGCAAGCAATCTAAGCTAGATGATAGATAAAAGACGATACTTACTTTTGCACCTATAGGGCAATCTCCATCATCTTCCTTGCAGACCCAATAGAGAGCTCCCTTCCCATCCAATACCCCACCATTGATCTCTAACCCTTCAACCTTCTCAAACCTAATCCATGCCCCATCTTTTACTTTGTTAATATCAGGAGAAGCAATCAACTCTCCTTTCAAATTTATAGTTATTTTCGAACTTTTGCATGGTCCACCAAAAGTGGTCGGATAGAGTAGATATTTTCCGGCCGGTACTTGAAAGGTAGTTGAGTCCTCGGAGTTGCAAGCAGAATTCCATGCTTTTACAAATGCATGGCTGTCATCAGATTTTCCGTCGGCTTTCGTTCCGAAGTCCGTTACATCGATGATGATATCGGCACTGCCTAGTGTAAAAAGGAGGGAGAGAATGATCAGCAACTTCATCGCCATTAGAAAATAGTGGAACTATAGAAAATAGTGGAACGCTATAGAAAATGGTGGAACGATAGAAAATAGTAGAACGAGCTTTAATGCGATAGAAAACAGTGGAACGATAGAAATAGAAAACAGTGGATCGCTGTTGGAACGATAGAAAACAGTGGAACTAGCTTTTAATGGGATGAAGGAGATGAAGAGTTTTAGAAGAGGAATAGAAAACTACGTATGTGTAGATTTTGAGAGAGAAGAGATGGGTATATATATCATATAGAGTTTGATATTTAGAAAAGATGTGGATTCATGATGGAAGATATGTATATAAATTTAAAGAGGCATAGATATTTATCAAATAGGGCTAGATATTAAAAAGATATGAATGCTGGAGGGAATAGATGGATATATATTTAGAGAGTCGAGAGATGGATATATATATATAATATAAAGAGAGATGTGATATTTAAAAGATGCGTAGATTTAGGAGGGAAGATATATATAATATATAATATCAAGAGAGAGAAGAGATAGATATAATAGAAGAACGGATATTTAGAGATGTTTATCTTCATTGAATTAGCATTTTTTTTTGGGGGGGGGAGGAGAAGAATTATCACCCGATTTCCAAAATTTAGAAATTTTAATTTCATAGAAATTCATTATTTTCTGTTTTTAGATCTTTATCCTTACAAACTTGTCTTGTTTTTTAATAATAAAAATATATATATATATAAATTTGACAGAGGTGGGTATATATAATATAAAGAGAGAGAAGAGATAGATATAATAGAAGAATCGATATGTTAGAGATGTTTATCTTCATTAAAATAGCATTTCTTTTGGAGAGAATTTATGAGCCGATTTCCAAAATTTAGAAATTTTTATTTCATAGAAATTCATTATTTTCTTATTTTAGATGTTTATCCTTATAGAATTGACTTGTTTTTTTTAGTAAAAAAGAAAAATCATAAATTTTCTTTTCTCGATTCCTTTTATGATTTTTCTCAAACATACATCACCCCAAAAACCATTTATATTGAAATGAGTAGAGAAACAATTTTGCAACTTAAAAAATCAATTCATATGCTAATGATAAACTATTTGTTAGTACATTAAAAACTATTGAAATAGCATACAAGGGATTTAAAAAATGATGTAGTTTCTAGAGGGCCTAGGCTTTACGTAAACAAGGTAAAGTCTCTCTATCGAGAAAGTGTTTGGATATTGAAAATCTCCATGATGGCTCTAAAATCCATTTCCATCACCCATTAGGAACTTTAAAGCTCAAAAAAATGTTGCAAAATCTGTCATATCCATGAATACTTATTTTTAGGACAATTAACGGTCTAAATAATATGTTACTATATACACGATTTTATTTTTTGGGCTTGAAATCCTATTTTTTTCACAACCACAATGATCAACGCTTAGATGATAGATCTAAAGGTTTTTCAACTCTAGGACTACCATTTTCATGAGCTTTAATATGAAAATTTACTTATTTTGACAGGGCTGCATCCCGATCAAAATATTTTCCTTTAGAAAAATAAAGCCTTAAGTCATTAACCCATAACTATTCCTTAAAAAAAATTATTTAATACGGTTCTTAGAATGTAATTAGAATCCGAATTCTTTGCAAGAGTTTTCATAAAAAAAACACATTTAAACAATGTATTTAAGCTACAAACTTTTTTACAAGTAAATAAAATTAATTAATGAGGTTTTTAAAATGAAAATAGAAACCGAAAATTAAGGAGGCTTAGGAAGTTAGTGCGGGGCCGTTGGTGTAATTAACGCCTTTTTGGCCTGCCCTTTAACGTGTACCGGAAATGCTTTTTTTCCCTATCTGGAAGCCGTTATTTCTTACTTTCTAATTCTTTATCTTTTGCTGCTATTCTCATTGAGTTCCTTCTACCCGTGACTAGAATATCGGTTATCACGTGACCATCTCGTCCACCGGTGCCTATCGACATCAAGATGCATGGATATGAGAAAAAAATGAATTTTAAGTTTTTAAAATATTACATCTTGTTACTCATTTTTTTTATCATCAATTTTCAAGATTTCATAGATATGCTTGATCTACATTTTTTTTTTAAGCTTTAAATTTTATAACTAAAGATGAAAATATATTTTAAGGCTATCGCAATGATTTCCAGTACTGAAACCATATTCCTCAATACTATTTGAAGGTGTGCTTCACTTTGATTGTTTAGAGTGGTGGGTCTATACACCGCACCCTTAATTAAATGTTATAATTAAATTATATAGTTATATTTAATTAAATATCAATGATTTGAAAAAATTGATCGGTGAACTGGATCGAGCACCCCAAAAAGTGATCTAGATTGTTGTTTTACTGTAGAGAATCGTCATTTTACTATACGGAAGCTACTTTCCTATATATGCACAAAACTGGAACATGTCTGGGTCGGATCTGGCAATTCCATGTCAACCTGATGTTTTTTAAATTACTGTTAAATATTATTCGGATTAGGTCCGGGTCGGGTCTACGTGAACCAGACCAAGACCTAATAGCATTTGGGGTTCAAGATTTGGACCCAAACCCAACCCGTCGGGTGCAATATTTGGACCCATACCCAATCCGGGGTAGGTCTACCCATCGGGTTCTGGGTCGGGTCTAGGTCCATTACCACCCCTGCTCAGATTCATTAGTATCTCTCGTTGCACATAGTCCCCCATATGGTCTCCCATCAGTATCTAGTCCTTCCTATCTAATATCTGGATAAAGTGATACATATCAGAAAATAAGATAAAAGTGATAAACTTCACTTCTCTCTCTAAGCATCTCTTTTCTTTTTCTTTTTCTTTTTTTTTTCTTTTTTTTTTGACAATATATGTTATAAGCTTCTCTTTCGCTTGCATGTGTGCATGGGAGCCATGCATTTAAAGAATGGCATCAATGGCATCCATCATCCACCACCACCGAGTTCATGATAGGTCCCTCTTTTTTTTCCCTTTTCTTTAAATTTTTTTTTACCAATGCTAAAAATATTTTTTAATTATCACAATTTTCCCAAAATTTTCCCTTTGAATCAAATTCTTGGGTTCTCATTGTTCTCCAAAAAGCCACTACTCTCTACCATAAAATTTGGACCAATGCCTATGGATTCCCAAATGTTAAGCCGAGTAAGAAGGCTAAAAATCATGGGTCTCAAAATTCAATTATTTATATCTATTAGAGAAATATTTTTCCTCAAGTATAAATGTTTGTATATCTTTTTGGTTTTAGGCCTAGATTTGTTGCGAGCTGAAATCTTTAATTTTTGTTCATTATTCAAAGACACGTGACCCATGAATAACATCACTTGATCTTTCCACATGAATACCATCAGCATTAGATCACTTGATCTGGATCCTTTCACAAGAATAACATCACTTGATCCTTCCACATGAATGCTCTAACCTCATTTGATCTTGATCCTTCCACAAACTATCAACGTGGCTCCAACCTTTACCCAATGAACTTGATCCTTCCACAAATACCATCAGTGATATCAACAACACTCTAACCTTTACCTATCAACAACACTCTAACCTTTACACCATGAACTCTAACCGTATCAGACTCATCAAAAAAAATCATTGATATGGGGTTGTTTATTCTTACCTTCTTGCATTTGTTGAAGACTAACTACTGCATTGAAAATAACAACCGACTTTCTAAGTGTGACTTAGGAAAAGTGTGACAGAAAAATGACTGCATTCAAAAGACTAACTACTGCATTCAAAACAAGAATTGACCTTGTAAGTGTGACTTATGAATAAGTGTGACAGAAAAAAGACTGCATTCAAAACTGGAATGAGACAATTTAGTCCCAACAGAATACGCCCTATAATCATTGAATTAAACCCAATTACGCTTCTACCCCTGTAACACAAAAAAAATAATAATGAAAAGACAGTTATGTGAGATTGAATTATTTTTTTGTATTAAATATGAGGACAAATTTCAAATCCATAGTTTTAAATAAATGTATAGATCATATCACCATTCCTCTCCCAACAAGAACTGCCTTTGTAAGTGTGACTTATGAATAAGTGTGACAGAAAAAAAACTGCATTCAAAACTGGAACGAGACAATTTAATCCCAACGGAATATGCCCTATAATCATTGAAAATTAATGAAAGGAAAGTTATGTGAGATTGAATTTTTTTGTATTAAGTATGAGGACAAATTTCAAATCCATAGTTTTAATTCTTCTCTCAACAAAAACGTGTGACTTATGAAAAAGTGTGACAGAAAAAAGACTGCATTCAAAATTGAAACGAGACAATTTAATCCAACAAAATATGCCCCTATAATCATTGAATGAAACCCAATTACGTTTCTACCCTGTAACACATTAAAAAAAGAAAAAATTAATGAAAAGACAAGAACTGACTTTGTAAGTGTGACAGAAAAAAGACTGCATTCAAAACCATGGCAGAAAAAAGACTGCATTCAAAACTGGAACGAGACGAGACAATTTAATCCCCTATAATCATTGAATGAATATGATAGTATATGAATATGACAAATATAATTAATCATTGAATGAATATGATATTATATGAATATGACAAATACGATAGTTTTATGTGAGATTGAATTTTTTTGAGGACAAATTTCATAAATGTATTGATCATGTCACCATTCCTCCATATATTTAATATAATGGTGTGTCCAGGTTTTAATTTTTTTTTTATCTTGGTAGGAATTGAGCCTAACCCTTTCCATATATTTAACATAATGGTCGGCCCAGTTTTTATTTTTAGGAATTGAGCCTAACCCTTTCCATATATTTAACATAATGTTCTGTCCTTTTTTTTTGTTTTTTTTCGTTTTTTTCCATATATTTAACATAATGTTCTGTCCAGTTTTTTTTTTTGTTTTTTTACCCTTAGTAGGAATTGAGCCTAGGACGTAGTGTTGCAAATCGTCAAGCGTTAACCAATTAAGCTCAGACTATTTTCTTAGTATAAAATCTAATTTAAAAAATAAATTTACACATCA